AAATCCTGTCAGTCAGCCACCTATAGATTAGCTTATGTTGTCCAACCTTCCAGACCTCGGGCGTCAAGACTTGTCCTGTAACGATCACAGCTCGCTACAAGCGGCTCTAGGTACGGATTTTAACGTCGCCTGCCCGGATGTCGTTGACGATACCATGCATACTGAGTGTCGTTCTACCAAATTATCTTGCCTCTGTCTCATACTTTTTTGAATAAAATACAGCATTTTCTAACTTGGCATGTTAATGCCAGACGATTAGACGGCTGTGTCTAGTACATTGATGTACAAAAGCAGAACCCCCCGTCGCCCATCATCGGTCGACAATCGTCGCCGCACCAACCACGCGAATACACTTAGATGTCGGACAGTAACAGGGAGACTAGGTCTAAAACGGTGACGGAAAGCTGGCACGTTCATCCTCCGCGTATGCAGAGCATTCCTAGGTCCTTGTAGCTTACCTCCATAGTCTGCGTAGCACCATGTACCATGGCACTAATTGCCCAACACATTAATTGAGGGGAAAAAAGCAGAAGCAATGCAAGTCATTTTGTGAGTCCTACTTGTATTAGGTTGTGGTGATTGATCCAATAATTAATTGAGTCACAAATAACCAATCAGAGTAGAATCAGACTGCCTTGAATGCATACTACCTGCTTTGGAAGCAGCATCAAACCCTGTTTCTTCCCGAGGAGTCTCAATGTATCGGTATTTTGTGTTGAACCTTGCATAACCAGGCTACCAGAGCTCATAAATTATATAATTTTAGGACTGTCGCATCGGAATGCTGACCTTGCGCCTTAAGTGTCGAGCTCCTTGAGGTGAATGTAGGGCTGACCCATTCTCTGCCATCAAGGTTGACGCTGCCATTGACGCATTTGATTGTAAGATGGACGGGTGAACACCTGGAATGTTGTTTGAATTGTTCATGGGTGATTCGGCCGAAGAGGGGAGAACTGTATACGTAGCCTTGCTGTTTTTGGGCATGAAGCACGGAAACGGTGATACGAGCATGGTTCCATTGGCAGAGGAGCTCATTTGGGAAGACTGAAGTGTGAATTGCGACTGGACGGCATGTTTGTTTATTTGCCGTATTCTTTTCTGCCTCAAGCAGAGCTATGAAAAGAAGAACAATAAATATCTCATCGCATCGAGGTGTCTTGGCAAAGAAAAATCTCACAAAAAAGCTGGTTAATAAAATGAGAATAACAACGGATGCTGCACCAACAGAAATACCGGCGATAGCACCAGCTGACAACCTAAAAATGATCAAGGATAATGACAGCTACGATAGAGAAGAGTAACACACCTTGCATGAGCCGGAGGACCTTCAGAGGTCTGCATTGGGTTCAAACTAAATTGAAGATAAGCAACGACGATTACCATATAAAAAAGAAACACACCTTGTTTCAACTAAACTTGAGGTTTCAGAGGTGGGGATCACGCTAAGAAGTGATAGGTTCAGAGTAAAAAACGAGCCGAAGCCAATTGACATACACAAGCGAAGGGAGTGATAGATAGTAGAGATTCGCGTAATCAATCTCAAGGAACCCATTACCCCTGTTCACGATGGCGAGTGAATGACTTCCCTCTCCAATATTACTGCCATAGTAAAGCAACCTCTTGACTCCGCGAGTGGTCGTTAATGCCGAGTAATGCTCAAGGGGCTCGTTATCCAACTGGACTGAATAGTGTCCATTCTCAGGACCTACAGATCCATAAATTGCGACAGCATCACCTTCGACATGGCTCCGGGTGAGATTGGGGATCCAAATCATCATAGGATATATACACACTCTAATATCATTGAGACCAAGCACCCTTCATTGAAGTTTCGATACTCACTGAAAATGTCAAGACTGCAGTTGAATTCAACTCTGAGGTGGAACTGTATGTTTTACAATCAGGAATTCTGCAGGCACACAAGTAAACTCACTGGCCGGTTATGTTGTAAAAAAGATTTACGTCTGCTGGGGAAAACCAGTTCCCTTGCTTGTATTGCCAAAAGCCTGGGTCTGTATCGTCGACCACACTCATGGATGGAAACCCCGTTTTATTGCTGTTGACGTTTGAAACCCATGCCGGCTGTTCAAATGTGAGTTGCAGGTCTGTGAATATGGGATGGGGCCTACATAATCGATAACAAAAGTGGAATCACCTTCATTTGATATTGTCATGGTATGTTTTCCAGGAGATAAACTCCTGTTGGCTGAGAAGACTGGAATTTGTGGTTGTCCCGTAGTACCAATTTCGCTACCCATGTAACTCTGACCATCAATATCGACTTTGAAATTACCATGACCGATATTCCTAGAACCATATACTGTGACGTCAACACCTTCGAATTCGAACTTCAACCTTGCTTTATGACTTTGAGTTTTGGAAAAAGTCAATTGATGGTATCTGGGGAGGGGTGTTAAAGCAGTAATTTGAGTAGGTTCAAGATCACTTGCTGGTTGGCACCAAATTGACTGGTACTCTTGTCCGTACTAATGTTGTGGTGCGTCCAAGCATCGAGTGGATGATATTTAATCAGCGGGCTTTCGTTGTCAACAGTAAGCAACATGCCGGCCATGGTGTTTATTGAGAAGAGGTGCGAGTATGTCAGTCTATATAAGAAAACGGCGTGCGAACTCCTTCAGAAATAGCGTATGAGCAGGACCCAATAATAGTAGGTTACCTTGGTAGCAGATGACATATCATTACTCGACAAGTATCTTGATTTCAAGTTGATGTGTTGTACGAATTGGAAGTGAACTTTGAGGCAAAGTGCTGGGCGCCATTAAAGTGTTCTAAACATCAGCTATTGATATGAGAACAAGGATAAATGCAGGGAAGCCTGTCATTATCCCAGTTCCAGTTATTTTGAGATTGAACACCAGGTAAGATCTCCAAGTTGACTGTTTGAGCAAAACGTCACAGATCCTAGTTTCGAGCAAGTTCGGCAGCATCGAGGTAAGTAAAGACTCCGCGTGTGGCAGGGGCTACCCACTATCCCGATGGTCTACGTGAACATTGGCAAGTGATATAATGGATAGTCTTTCTGAAACAAGTCGCAAAACAGCGATGAGCTATGAAGCACGATCCAAGTGAAAAATTAGGCTCGATCAGCTGCGGTCCCTTGATTTACTCGATCATCAACGCAGTATTTCCCTGCATCATTCCTCCTTGATCGAATGGACCACAACCCTAGATTGCAAAAAATCTGGCGCAGTCGTTGTCAGCATAACTGATGATGTTTCTTGTCTATCACCTTCGCCGATAATCATGATCAGCACGAAGGCACCGAGTTAATGACAAATCTACGGTGAATGCACAGCTGTGTTTCTGTTCAATGGGGTTCGACGTTGTCCCAGATGACCATGTGTTCCGACCAGCGGCTTCATCTCTTCACGTTTCTGGAAGGAGAACAGGAAGATACCATCTTTTTTTGTGCTTGTTCTACTTCTGCGACAATGGAATATGTAATAGTCAAGAGTGGACCAAGCTAGAGAAAGCAGCTCAATTCTAAAGGAGCACTGGCTCCCTCAGGTAGTCTTCTCTCAGAGGCAGCATGTATATAACCAGTGTGGCGCTGATTTGCTCAGTGCACCTCCAATTGATAATACCCCTGACCTTGAATGATTAAAAACATCAGCTAATGAATCATCATTTCAAGGAGCTATCAAAGAACCAGTGTCTCAGCGACATATAGCACGGAGATCAGCAATACCCGGAGTACAGCAAAAATTAGTCATAACAAACATCAGCAATCATACATCATTCACGTATCCACTACCTGAGCCTATTCCTCGCCTCGCGTTTTGCACCCTCATATGCCTGATCATACTCCCTTCTCATATCAGCCTCCAGCTGATTCGCAACCTGCATATACACCTCCGTTTGATTTGGACCAAGCTTCTCAACGGAAAGAGTCCCGATTCCGCGTTTGCGCGCGATCATCGTCAGGAGTGCGATACAGAGGTCTCGTTTATCGCCATGTGCATGGAGGTGCGGTAAGTCGCGGAGAGAACGCACGTGGCGGATGAGCAGGGGAGCCCCTGTCGTGTGAGCTTTCGCGTCTGGCGCGTGTTCTACATCCTCACGCGCCATTTGCGACGCAGACACGAGGAGCTCGAGCTTGATTCGCTGGTACGTCAGGTGTCCCAGGATGTCGTCTTTGGAGATGTACTTGTAGTCGAACGCGGGGTTGAGATCGGTGCATCCGTCGTGGATGTTGTCGGAGAGTTTGATCACCATGTCTTCGTATGACCATCGCGGAGGACTGGGAGTCTGCGTAGAGGCGCGCGCGCCGCCGTTGCCGTTGCCGTTGTTTTTGGTCTTGGATTTTGAGCTCTTGGACTTGGAGATAGGCTTGGATCTACTTAGGCCGGGTGGCGATGCGGAGACAAGCTCTGATGGCAGGTCGGCGTGGTGTTGGCGTGGAGGAGACATTCTTCGAGACGAAGCTCGGATTGTCTCGGTGGAGTAGCTTCGCGAGAGCATATGATAGATGTCGGAGACTGATGAGGTCGAGGTTGAACGTTCCGTTCTTGCATCGATGCCAAGGTTGAGTTCTTCAAGGTCACCGCTGCCTTCTTCGTTGGATAAGCTCCAGTAGTTGAGAAGCATGATGTAAAGAGGGATAGACTGGAGGAGAAAACAAGAGCTGGAACATATATAAGGGCTTGATTGCCAAAGAGAACAAAGGCCATGAATGCTGTTGTGGCCAACGATACATAACCTTTGTTGAGTGGCATGATTTTCTTTCCTCTATGACAGGCCCGTGGATGCCTGTCTGGACGACGCCGACGAACTCCTAAATGCCACAGAAAGTCAGTAATGTGTGGAGCAGGGTATGTAGCTTGACGTTGATCCCAGTTGGAGAGCTCTGAAGTGAGAAAACCGGTTGGCTTGGGCAGTCGAGACGTAATCGAGATCAATGCTGCTCCTCAAGATGGAGCAAAATAATTGGATTGCCGGAAAGAAAAAGAAGGGAAAAAGTCCACTGTAGTATTGACTGATGACAACTGTGAGGTTCGAACTCACGCCCTTGCGGACTGGATATAGGAAAGAAGCCTAATTCCAGCGCCTTAGACCACTCGGCCAAGTTGCCATGTTGAACGTGATACGTTGTGGGTTTACAGAGCTCTTCTCAAGCTCAAGCGCATTCATCGGCACGTCAATACAAACGTGACTATTTCACTCGCGCCATTTGGGTAATCCACCCACCTCGAGCCGTAAATCGGCGGATATACTAACGGACATGAGACTGGCTTTCTGAAAACCTCGGTATACCGTTATTTTTTTGCGTTGATCAATCGTTGGTTTTGTACCTCGCTTGAGTATCGACCAGACAATACTTCGTGATAATCGTATATTATACTGGTCAATGTCTGCACAGCACCGATTCGCCCAGGTGCTACGCATCCACGTCCGCCGAACAAAAATCAAAATCCTGTCAGCCACTCCTAGAAGAGGCTAACGATATATGACCTGACGCCAGGCCTCGGACGCCAAGACATGGTCCTGTAGCGACTGTGGATGACCGTCCACAGTTCGGCACAGCGGCTCCAGGTGCAGCTTTCGGCGTTCCCCGCCCGGGCAACGTTGAGGGCATCCTGTATACTGGGGCTGTCCGACTACCTGGCGGGGTCTCTTTTTTTTCAGTGGAACAGAGGCGAAGTCGAACATGAAGTTTCATCGAGGATGCAGTCAGTAGCCGAGGTTCAGAGTAGTCAGACGACCGAGATCATGCAATGTTTTTGACGTCGCGAAGTGAGAATCCCAAATTAGGCGAATCGATCAATCTTTTTGGAGACCTCACAAACACCGAGTATCTTGATGGGTCATATGTGCAGTGGAGAACAGGCAAGCAGCAGATTCCGGAATGCTCCAGTGTGATGTTCCCGGCCAACACGCTGCCGTGCATGCGGCTACAAGTGTGTTTGTGGAGACCATGATCAGAAAACCCAGAGAAACTTTAGAATGTTGAGCAGAGAAAAGGCTGGTCAAGAAATGGGCTGCTATACACAGCATTCTGTCTGTCAGAAACCGAGGAGATTGGTGGAAGAAGAATTCATGCAGAAAAAAAACGTGGACATCCTGAGAATCTCACGTGCTGACGAGGGCCAGGAGTGACCGTTGCTTTGCATTCTTCTGTTGTTTCGCCTTCCTTCTCCTCGCCGACGTCCACAGCGGGCTCGCCCTCTTTCCTTACTGCAGGCAATGGCCTCCAACACCACTCAGGCCACCGCTTCTGGCGACCTCGTCGACCTCGTTTCCTCTTCGGCCACAGCAACCATCTACCCGTCCGACGATGCTATCCTTGCTGTCCTCCAAGCTCGTTTCCGCGCAGATTTGCCCTATACAAGGATTGGCGCGACCAACCTTGTTGTTGTCAATCCTTACAAGACCCTTGCTAATGTAAACGATATCAGTGCGAAGGAGTACGAGGAGCGGTGCTACAAGGACACAAGTCTTCCTATGGTTGACTCGCCCAAACCTCTGCAGCCCCATCCATACGACTTGGCGGCAAAGCTGTACCTTCTCATGCGACGCAGAAATGAATCGCAGGCTCTTTTGGCGAGGTGAGTGTACTGTATTGTACTATCGTACGCTGGCTATAATAAATTCTTCAGGGGTATAACAGGGTCTGGTAAAAGTTCGACGATTCGTCTCTTCATCAATCAGATTCTCCGCCTCTCAACGCATTCAAGAAGGGAGGCCAAGGTTGCTGAGCAGATCAAGGCCGTATGGACTGTCCTCGACTCGTTCGGCAACACAAAGACTCTTATGAACCCAAATGCCTCGCGCCACGGCCGCTACTTCGAGCTACACTTCAATGAGAGGGGGCGTATCAGCTCTTCAAAAGTCCTTACATATGCTCTAGACAAATCCCGGCTCAACCGCCTCACCCACGAAGAGCGATCATTCCACGTCTTCTACCAACTCCTTGCTGGAGCTACCACAGCAGAGCGTGATCAGTTCAACTTGGAGGATCCCTCTGACTATGCTCTCCTTGCCTCTTCTGGGACCTACCGCCTTCCCTCCGGCCCCTTTAGCGACGATTCAATTGGCATGTCAGACCTGCGTGCATCGATGCGTACCCTCGGCTTCAAGCAGAAACACATGTCTTCTATTTTTAGTGTCCTCGTTTCTATCCTTCTCTTGGGGAACCTACAGTTCCACGACGGCGATGCCCACACCGTGTCGGCGTACATCGCAAACAC